CGACACCACAGAGCCGGATGGCTACCTACGCTGAGTCCCACATCCAGCCCGTCTACCAGCCCTACCTCACCACCTGCCAGGACCACCGCCTCTGCAGCACCTACAGGTGAGGACAACTGCCCACCCAAGGGACCTGGTCCCTGAGAGGGGCCCAGATCCATCCCAGCAAGGCAGCGACCCACAGGGGCTGCAGAACGGGGTGTCCTGCCTTGATCCGTGGGGAAGGAGCTCCCAGCCCCTGGGCAGAGGGTCTGACCCACTGGCATGGGAGCGGGATGGGGGGGGTTAGGGTGGATTCTTAGTCACCCAGCTCAGCCCCATCTTTGTGTTGTAGGACCATCTACAGGGTTGCCTACCGGCAAGCGTCCAGGCAGCTGCCCCAGCCCGCGGCCTCGTGCTGTCCTGGCTGGAGCAGAGTGAACAGCCACGCGCTCAGCTGCAACAGAGGTAAGAGGCTGCTGTGCCACCGCGGTGCCAGCGCTCGTCCTTCCCCCAGACCCCATGGCTGGGGAGCTCAGGTCCCTGGGTGAGCCCTGGCAGCCAGCTCCCTTAATTTACTGGCACTCTGCCTGTCAGGCAGATTCTCCCTGTAGGAAAACATTTAAATTTTCAACATCACAACCAAATGTGGTTCAATTTCTGATTAATTCTCAGCCTTCCTCTGCTGCCTTGCAGGCCTTTTTCCTTTGGGATCACTTATTAATTTTATAGTTACCAGAGTAAGATGAGTAAGTCGTTTCCATATAAATCAGCAGTAATGGAAGAGGAATGCTTTCAGGAGGCAATTGTGATGTACAGCACAAAACAAATGCAAAACATCAGCAGTTAGTCCATCCCCAGATGAGCTCAGAGCACATCAGTGGCTTCCCAGGGTCTGCTGCTGCCCGTCCACCCTCCTCCCTCCCGACTGTGCTGGCTGCAGGCACCTTGGGCTGCAAAAACCAAGGTCCTGTTTGTTCCACCCATGCTGTGCCCTGTGCACCCTCTCCAGCTCAACCCCATTGCTCTGGGGATGATGTGGAGCATCCCAGTCCCAGACTGGTGCTGGTGTCCGTTTTGCTGTGTGTGTGTGTGCACTGTGTGTGTGCACTGTGTGTGTACACACACTCATGGTGTGAGGAGAGGGAGCTTAGGATCCCCCAGAGCTGCCTGGTGATACTGTGCTCATGTTTGGTCCCACAGCTCTCTGCTGGGTGCCATGTCAGAACGGTGGGAGCTGCCCCTTCCCCGGGAAATGTGCCTGCCTGCCTGGCTGGATGGGGCAAGCCTGCCAGACAGGTACCAGCCATGCCATGCCCTGCATCGGTTCTCCAGGGAGCAGCAGGGCTGCCATGGGGCTCTGGACGTCCTCTGCCCCCAGACCCACCTCATGGTGGGGGACAGAGACCTGCACTGTGGTTTGTCACCAAGCCTTGGGCATGCCTGGTGCTACTCAGGCCCCAGAGAGGAACCAGTGTGTTACCCCTCCTAACACACGTGTATCTCAAGGGCAGTGATACCTGATGGTCTGGCCAGGAAAGACCTGGAAGCTTGGCTCTCAGGGCAGCTCTGCCCTCCCTTTGGCTGTGTTGGTGCTCTCAGCCCTTGGCTGCAGCCCTGGCATCCACATTTTCTCTCTGCTGCTGCTCTGTGCTGGGTCAGGGTGAGCAGAGGCTGTACTCTGCCGTGCCTGTGCAGCCAGCAAAAGGCTTTCTGCAGAGCAGCCGTTACACTCGTGGGATCAGCTGGAGATTGTGTATCATCTCCCAAGCTTTGTAAACTCTCACTGTAAACTAAGACACCCATTTACTGCAGAGACTAAATCTGCAAAGCAAAAATATCTGGGGGTGGAGGGAAAGCCTGGCAATCCCCAGGCACCGAGCTCCTCTCCATCATAAGAGCAGCCCGATGCTCCTCTCCAAAGCGTGGGGAGATCAAGCAGCACGGAGGGCAGCGTGAAGATCCCCACATACCAGTGTCTTGCAAACCCCTGCCACGGCATTTCCCAGCTTTCCACCCTCCTGTAAAGCAGATGAGGAGCGTGTGGCATTGACCCTCGCTGGGCCAGGCAGGGCTGAGCACATCACTGACAGCTCCAGCTCCAGCACAGAGGGGAAAGGATTTTCCCACTGCCTAAAAACAGATTTGGCCGGGCGTGGGAAGTGGTTCAGCTCATTTTGCTTTGTGGGAACAGCTTTAATAAGTCCCCTGTGTGAGGAGAGGTTACTGGGTTTTGTACAAACTTGAAAGGCCGATAGCTCCTCGCCACGGCTGGCTGGAACCAAAACCCCAGCCATAAATCCAGGATGAGAGCTGAGTGCTGCCTGCGCCCGCCTCGCTGGAGCTGGGACATTTCTGACCACAGCTTTTGTTTCTGGCAATTTTGGGGTGGGAGCGGGTGGAG